TCTTAGGCTACATTAATAATGATGCCCGCAGATTTCATGTTTTCGTAGCAAATCGGGTTCAGAGAATCAGAGAAGCAACTGAACCAGCACAGTGGCGCTACATTGACACAGACCAAAATCCGGCAGACCATGCTTCCAGAGGACTCGGGGCAGCAGAGTTGCTCAGCTCCAGTTGGCTTGCTGGACCCAAATTTCTGTGGGAAAAGGAGATTGTTGCATCAGAGTCAACACCAGAGCTTATGGTGGGTGATGCTGAAGTCAAAACCACACAAGTACTGCAAACAAAGGCAGTGAAAGAGGACAATTTCTTGGAGAGATTCAAACGGTTCTCAAACTGGCAGACAGCAGTGAATGTGGTTGCTCGAATAAAGCAATTAGCAAAAAGGACTAAAACAAGAGAACGCATCAGTGTGGAAGACAGAAGAAAAGCCAGTCTTGTACTTATAAAGCTGGCACAAAAAGACACTTTCAAAGATGAAATACAAACATTGAGTCATGACAAACTGTCACATAGCCATCCATTGTTTCAGCTCAACCCATTTTTGCTAGATGATGTTCTCAGGGTGGGAGGGCGATTAGCGAAGGCTTCTTTGTGCCTTGACATGAAGCATCCAGTAATCTTGCCTAAAGAGGGTGTAGTCACACATTTGATCTTAGATTACTGCCACATAAAAACTCAGCACCAAGGCAGAAGTCAAACACTTAATGAACTGAGGGCAAATGGTTTCTGGATTGTAGGTGGCAGCAAAGTCGTGGCAAACTACATTAAACAGTGTGTGACATGTAGGAGAGCTCGCAGGCCACTAGAAACACAAAAGATGGCAGATCTACCGACCGACCGGGTGGATCCCTCACCACCATTCTCCTACTGTGGGATGGATTGTTTTGGACCATTTTACACTAAGCAGGGTCGAAAACAGCACAAGAGATATGGTCTGATATTCACTTGTCTGTCCTCAAGGGCAATTCACATTGAACTATTGGAAGATCTAACAACGGATGCTTTTATAAATGCACTACGATGCTTTATAGCAATCCGCGGAGCAGTGAGAGAAATAAGATCGGATCAAGGAACAAACTTTGTTGGCGCAAAGAACGAACTGTCCAAGATACTGAAAGAAGTTGACAAAGACAGACTGACCGCCTATTTGGCAGAAAAACACTGTGATTTTAACATGAACGTCCCTGATGCAAGTCATATGGGAGGAGTTTGGGAGCGACAGATAAGGACAGTAAGGAGTGTTCTAAACTGCGTCCTCTCACAAAGTGGTGGAACATTAACTGATGCGTCCTTGAGAACCTTTTTGTACAAGGCCATGTTAATTGTGAACAGTCGCCCACTCACCACTGACAGCATCAATGATCCTAAATGCCTAGAGCCGCTTACTCCAAACCATCTACTTACCATGAAAACGTCTATTCCGCTGCCTCCACCAGGAAAGTTCGTACCAGAAGATCTGTATGCCAGGAAAAGGTGGCGCAGAGTTCAATACATGACAGAGCAATTCTGGAGTAGATGGAAGAGAGAATATCTGGCAAACCTTACTCTCAGACAGCGCTGGCACTCTCCAAGACGAAATGTAAAAATTGGAGATATTGTTATTGTCAAAGATGAAGGTGTCTCACGCAATGAATGGAGACTTGGAAAGGTGCTTGATGTTTGTGAGGATGAAGATGGATTGGTGAGAAAAGCCACCATACAATTAGGGAATAAAAAGTTAGGCAAAAAGGGTCAGAGGCTTGTTGATTCATCTATTATTGAACGTCCTATTCATAAACTAGTTGTACTTGTAGAAAACAACTAACGTACACTGCAATGTGCTACATGGGTAGAAGTAAACTGTTTGGTTCCAGAAATTACTAGCTTTATTCAACAGAGATTCTCGTAAATCGTAGTAATTTGGTGGGAGTGTAACTGTCTAAGAGACAGGTTGTGGTGTGTGTTTGACTGTCAGTTCATTGTTTTGCTGTTCATATATAATTGAGAACTGAGATGAAGAATGTAACAGATTGTTAAAAAATACATCGCTTTAAGGTCCAGTTTAGTTAAGAAGTTGGGTACGCTGTGTCGGAGTTTTATTTTGACAA